AGAAAACCCAGGTGCGGTGCCGGTGCGGTGCCGGGTGCGGGTGGTGCTTGTCGTACGGGCTTCAATAACTAATAAACTAGGCGCGCAGTCGCAGTTGGTGCGGTTCGCTCAGGTCTGATGACTGATCGGTTCTAGCGACTGGACGCTGGATAGACTCTTCCTCGTTTGGATCTTTGCTCAGGGAATTACGAACAGCTTCTTGTAGGAGGATCTTCTACGCTCAGCGTCGTCGCATGCTACGCAGAGGCCAGAGCGCAGTACTATGACTAACAAAATAATCTAAGCACTCCAGCGCAGGCGTGCAGAACACTGACGACATTCAGCACGTGCTTGTTGTGGACTTATCTTTTGCCGCAGGGGATCATAATATAGATAAATATTCCCTCCGTCCCAAAATAACTGTCATCATTGATGTACGTGCCACAAGTTTAACTCGATTTGTAGAAAATACACGTAATATTTATATCTCCAATAAATTTATTAAAAAATTAGATTCAAAGATCTTTCCAATGGTACTAATATTGTACCATTAATATTAATATTTTTAAATATATATTTAGTTAAAGTTGTTTCTCGGGAAGTGAAAACGACAGATATTTAGGGACGGAAAGAGTAGATACTAGCAGTGTTATACGAAAACTGGGGCTCCTTTTCTTTAGTTTTTTAATATAATAGCCAATGCCCGTGCGTTGCTACGGGTGATAAAACTATGTTAATCTCATTTGTTGCTCCCATAAGAAGGTTTTTTGAAACAATGTTGGCGCTAATAATGAAGTTAGAGCGACACATGATCCATTAATTTGTATATGTGGAAACAAAATGTCGATGAAACTATATAAGGCATGTATATCAACAAAACGCAGCATTGTCGAAATCCGTCAAAATGAAATCAATCGATTTCACTAACCCTTCTTCTTTTTTTTCTTTTTTTGTGAATCATAGTACAGACGTCCTTGAGTGTTGCACTTGAATCGCTCTTGCCGTCCATCCTATCATATTACCGCTATGCTGATTGGTGAGATAAGTCATCAGGGATTAAGAGATTGGTCACTCAGTCACTCATCAAGATGCTTCACGGGTCACGGCCGAGGCACTCATGCCTGGACGGTGGAAGTAGAAACAGGAACAGAAAGGAAGCCGAACACTGGCGCCTGGCGGACGCGGAGTCGTGGACGGAGCTGAATCACCAAGCACGCGTCTCCTTACCTTTCGCCTGGGCCCTCAGCGTGTGGGCTTCTCAAGTTCTCATCACGCGGACGCGGCTCCAAAGGCCCAACTGCGGTACCTCTTCGGCGGTTCGGCCTTCGCTCGTCCGCGCATCTTCTTCCTCCGTCGGACTGCAGAGGTCGGCCATGGCTGCCAGGTCCGTGCGCGCTGGGGAGGCGAGGTCAGCCGGCCGTCGGACCTCGCCATACTGGTAGATCTGTCCCGGCTACAGCTATATCCTAGCTCTAGCCTCGATGCCAAACCACCACACGCACTGGATCTGGTCTGAGCTTCCTGTCGACGCCAGTCGGACGGAGGGAGCTGCGTCGGTGGCGGTGGGGGCGTGAGGCGTGGCTAGGCTACGGTCGGGCGACATTGGGAGGGGGTGGGGGCGAACGAGGCGTGCAGGTGCCGACCGGGCGGGGTGGCAGCAGGGGTCGGCGGTTGATGGAGGAGCGGCAGCGGCGTCACGGGACAGGGGTAGGCCGCCGCCCGCCGGCGTTGGCGGGGTAGGGGGTGCGACATCAGCTGCCCAGCTGGGGAGGGGCGGCATCGGGAGCAGAGGGCAGACCGCGGAGGAGGCTTCTGTTTTTTCTTCCTTGCTATTGCTATACAGGGGCGACGTCTGGGCGTGTATGTGGGGGCGTGGGCGGTGGGGGCCACATGTCGGCGCAAGCTGGAGCGCCCCGGCTTCACCACGGATGGTGAACGGGTCCAGTTTGCTCTTTTTATTAGGGGTAGAGATATATATCGGTGAGGCCTGCGTGCTCTATTGTTCTGTTGTCTGGCCGAAGCCAAATAGCGCGGGTGACGTTGCTCTCCGGCCGTTTCCCAAACGGAACAGGTCACTGCTGATACAGCGCGCGGAGGCGTGACCATCTGAACCGTTTTCCTACGGCTTCTGTGGGGATACGGCCAACCCGGCCGCTGCGCGAAGCGCGAGATCTGACGAAGCACGCTGTTGACATTTAGCTCGGCCGCCGCGAAGACGCCTCAGATCTTAGCGCGGACGGAGCGTGATCGTCTACTCCTATTCAAACTCCAAGGGCGTGCTACGTACCGTCGTCCCTCCCAGTATTTGTATGTGCATGACGTACTTGTCCGGGTACAGTGTACCGCAGAAAGAGAGCACGTAGTACTGGCGTACTACATCTCCAGAATCCATCTGTGTGGCTGTGTCCAGAATCCGTAGTGCAGGGCAATTGTTTTTTTTTTAGCAAAAGTGCAGGGCAATTATTGCGAATACATTACTCGGGCTGGACTGTCTCTGTTCTAGAAGGAAGGCCCACAATATGCTTGTGTATCGTTACAAACTCGCATCTGGTCCCATAAAACCCATGTTGGCCCGTTGTAGGCCCATGAGCAGATAACACTTACCAGAACAATTCTGGAGGGAGCTTACATTACCGTACCTTGTCTGCAGCACCCCCCCTCCCCCCCCCCCAAAAAAAAACGTGCCTATAGAATCATCAATTTATATTTTATACTAGTATTATGGAAAATCTAAGCTTCGGTACAAACACTATAAAAAAGAGAAACCAAGACATGGACTGTTGCAGTACAGTTTCCATGTCTAAATCTGCAATCCCCAATCATTCCTATGCAGGTTTCTCTTTCTTCTTTCTTTTTGCAAGATTTTTTGTTCAAGTTTAAATTTTGATGTGCATAAATAATTGCACTATCCGTCCATTCATATTTTTTGTGGATTTTCGGTACTCTTTAAGTGTGGCACCATGCCTTGGTTAGGTCCTAGCTTCTTTAGGTTGTGATTTTTCTTTTGTGGTAACTAGAAGAATACCCCACGAGTTGATTTTTTAGAAGAAATTAGTTTGTTCTATATATGTAGCATTACTATATGGTATGGGTACTGTATGTATGTATGTGTGTGTGTGTGTGTGTGTGTGTGTGTGTGTGTGTAGCTTGGCTTGTATGTTATCTTATTGCATCGGATTTGATAAAAATCGGTAAACTAATGGAAGAAAAGCAAATTGAACATTATAGATCAATTATAGAAGGATAGGACGATTCAACAAATAGTATATGCAGATGGCTTGCACCTTAATAGATTAAAGATTAAAAAAGTATTGCATATGATAGAGATGATGTGGAATATTTATAATTAATAAATAAGGGATCACATACCTTGCATGAAAGAATTAAGTTAGTGAGACAGTGGCAAACGATGTGCACCTTTGTAGGAAGAGATTGAACATCATAGGGATTAGCTTTAATAGAGCATATAAATATTGATATGGATATGGATATAGACATAGATGTTGGACGGCACCACCCTTGGTCGGTTTAGATACATGTACTGTTTACCTCCTCGTGCTGTTCCTATATCCTAGAGCAAACGTGGATTCACTTTATATCAATAACAATAACGATAAGCAACAGGGCAACGCCAGGATCGATGGGCCTTGAGTGAGGTTAGGCCAGATTTAATGGAAGTTTTATTCTTATATTAAATATAAGGCGACACACTAGAAAATAGCATGAGCGAACTTTTTCAGAGAACAGAGAGTCGAACTTCCAACCCGTAAGTCGCACTTCAGGATCCCTACCATTACCATTGTGCTATGCACACGTTCTCCACTTTGTTTAACCTCTCGTAGTTTTTTAAATATCTCATCAAAACCATTTAAACACCTATTATAGGCGAAGGTACATAATTTAGTCCTGTGCAGTCCTCTGTCAATGGTAAAGTCTACCTAGTACGAGACTTTGATGGATCGTGTAGGGTTTCCTTTCGTCAAAGATTCTTTTGACGGGTTACCGGCATGCCGTATGAATGGTACTGTTCGCATTGTATAGGCTACCTCGCTCAACTGCAAAGTATGAAAGGAATGGAGGACCAAACATGCAGCGAGAGAAGTTTGCTTCTTCATGAATACAGCAAAAGAGGAATAATCAATAACATAATCCAACCTGCAGTAATCCATCGACGGAGCTAATTTCTACCGAATGCTGCTGTCAGCTCCAATCACGAATTGCGCGGCAAACAGTACCAAACAGGCAAACACCTCGCATTTATCCCAAACGAGCAGAGATGGCAGTGAAAGATGGCTGCATGCTGAAATGGAGGTCGAGAGCAAAGATGAGGCGACGACGCGGTACGTACCTCCTCAGGTGCAGACGCCGCGGAAGGGAGCCACTGCCACCGGAGGCGGCTGCGCGCGCGCGGCGCCGTCTTGCCGGCAGCCGACGCGCAAGCGGCCAAGCTTTGCTCTCCACCTGCCGCGGCAAAGTGCCAAACGAGCCGCCGAAGCGACCGAGTGCTAAACGGGGAGCGAGACCTGCTGCCGCGGGGACGCGGGCATGGGCATATGTTGGCGTGTGCTGGGGGCCGGGGCGTGGTGGGCTCGGGGGGTTGGATGCGGCGCCGAAACGGAGGCAATAGCTAGACGTGTGCGCTCCATTTCGCCATTACTTATAGTAGGCGCGGCCGCGTGGGGGCGAGACGACGCGCCTGCCGCTGCTCGCCCCCTCTGTCGTTTGGACGTGTCGGGCTCGTCGGCACGTTGCCTTTCCACCACCACCAGCAATGGCTATCCTTTCCTTTCTTTCCGGGGAAGGGAGGGAGGGAGTCACAGGGAGGGCGATGGGCTCCGAGTTCCGAGGGGCCGCTACGGGCCTACGGCTCAGCCCCTGCATGCGGCTTGCTTCCGCCTCGGGGTTTTGTCAGGCTTGCTGCCCATGCAGGCAGCAGGCAGCAGGCGCAGGCAAGGCCGCTGCCCACAGTCTGCCGCGCGTTTGTCTCCTTGCTTTTGCCTTGGACTCTGCCGAGTTGCGAGTCACACAGTGCCACTGCTTCGGGCACAAGCGCTGGTGCACACCGGAGGAACGTTTGGAGTGTGATACACTCTGCATGACCGATTTGCGCCAAGTTTAGCATCGCCGAGCAAGAGCTCCCTGATGATCTTGTCCCCGATCCCGTCCATGTCCGGGAGCGCGTGCCCGGCCTCGGGGTGCTCGTGGTACCGCACCCACGGCAGCTTCTGCGCCACGTACCGCTGGATCTCCACTTGGACGATCTTGTCCTGGTACCCCTGCCAGATGCTGACGACGCCCTCCCCGTCGGGGAACGGGTTCTTGATCTCCGTGGGATCGAACTCCCACGTGCCGAACAGGATCGTCGCGTCGCGGCACAGTGACTCGTAGGTCCCCTGCTGCGTTGCTTTGGCCTTATACAAGAAAAACATGCAGTCAATACTCCTATGTGCGGGTAAAAATTGCAGAAATCGAACGTGTCTGGATTCATCGTGGAGTTTCGTACCGGATCGATCTGGCCGCTCTCGCGCTTCTTCCTCCAGAGCTCGGTGAGGATCTCCCAGTCCTTGGCGGTGAACGCGTCGCGCTCACCCCTGACGATCGGCGACACCCGGAACCACTTCTGCGCGAGCCAGGCGTGGAGCAGCGACGGCGCGTGGTGCGCGATCCAGAAGGTCCTACGGTCCCGGACGTGGAGCTTCCCGTACGCGGTCCTCGACACGTTGGCAGGCAGCGTCCACCAGTAGTTCACCGCCGGCGCGGCCAGAGCCACTCCGGCCAGCCTGCAACGACCGAGCCACACAATCAGAGCATACAAAGTTGATCAATCACCTATTCACCTGAACGGAGATGGTGGTGTGCAAGCTGCTATAGCTGCTATCCTTGACCGACCTGTGCGGAATGTAGTTGAGGCAGCTCCACGCTGGGTAGCCGCCCATGGAGCACCCTACCACGTAGAACTTGTCCCCGAGCTGCAGCGCGTCGGCGAGCTCCTCGACGTCCGTGGCGTCGCTCTTGAGACTGCGCTTCGGGTTGGCGTCGCTGTCACCGTACCCGGCTCTGTCGAAGAAGAGCATGTATATGCCGAGCTCCTCCACATGCTCCTGCATGCAGTCGTGGAGGCCCGAGCGTTAACAACCTAACGAACTCTTGAGTACGAACACCCGAACACACAACACAACACGCTGCTCAATTCCAGTTTACGAAACGATCAAGAACAGTCGGCCGGTTGTTACCTGGGACACGGGGAACCCGTTCTCCTTGGTGGAGGAGAAGCCATGGATGAAGATGATCCTGAACCTGGCGTTCTCCCTGCGCACTCCTTCCTCCCTGTAGGCCAGGTGCCGGCCGTCTTTGAGCCGGATTCGAGGGGAGGTGATCACCGGCCCTCCTGGGGGGCCCAAGATCGCCGGGGGCGGCGGCCGGGTGGCCTGGTACGCCCAGCCCAGCAGCGCCACTGCGGACACCAAGGCTAGTTTGGAGAGAGCGACCATTTCCACTCGTCGGCCAGCCTGCACGTGAGACGATCAGAGTTCTCTTCGAATGGAGGAGAGGACGTGAAGCTGCCGACTGAAGATACTGAGCCAACAGGAGCGGCATACAGTTTCAAAGTGCGCTAGTGCGTGCACAGGAGACGACTACGGGATTGTGAATTGTGATTCAGCTAGGCAGTCTCGGGATCAGGCAGCTGCCGATCAGGACTCCGGTTAGACGGTCATCAGTTGGCTGCTCGGCTGTCAAGTGTCCATCGTCCCCGTGCCAGCACGCGGATGGGGCACCGCGTCGTGACGCACGGCGCGGCTGGTTATAGCGATCTTGTAGGCAACCGCGGTTCCAAGCGGCAGCGGCCGTCAGCTTTGTGCCTTTGTCCCAAAGGAGAAGGGCCGGTGATGTGCACGTGTCGGCCTGCTGCTGCACGGCGTGATCTCGCCGGCGTCGAATTTGTCCGTAGCCACGATCTTGCGCAACAGGCTGCACCGGCCGAAGAAAATTTCGGTCTTGGGTCTGTGCTGTTCGGGTAATGAGAGCGAACCTTTGATGCATCCCATGACGCTCGAGTCTTTTCACTGGCCGTAAACAGGCGGTGGGCGCTCGCGTCTTGCTCTCCCCTTGTTTCAGCAAATAAACAACGGAGAAGACTATTGCCATGTTCGCTTGGGCTTGTTTGGCTGATAAGTCACGACTGAAATTACTGTTAGCTAATTTGGTGTGAGAGAAAAATACTACTCGTTGGCTGAAAAAATATGGCTTATAAATCAAACGAACCCGGGGTGATTGCGTCCGTATCGCTGTATGACTGTGACTCCTGAGTCTTGACTGTCGAGAGCATCACTAGGGTCGTCGTCCATGAACAAGATTGATCGAGGACAGATGCTGTGTAAAGTCGCAAGCAAGCGCTGAGCGGTGTCCGACTCACCACGGAGCTGGCCGTGCGAAGTGAACGTGGATCTTTCACGACGTTTCATCGCCTTGCGGCTTCTTGTGGTCGCCGCTGCCTGTCGCACGCGAGCACGGACTGAGCCATCACAGTGGTGCTGGATACCAGAATGGCCCAACGAGTTCAAGCTTCCAGCCCACAGGGCTGGAACTAACGAGCCCTCTAACTATACACGGGCTACACGGAGCTGGGCTCGACCGTGCAACGCCTGGCCCGATGCCGCAGGCAGGAGCTCTGCGCCGGTCCGCCCCGACCGTCCCGGGTCTCGCGGCCGAGCTCCTTTCCGCTTTCGAGTCCACTCCGTGTTTCCGTCCCACCAGGTTCGAGCCTCCCAGACACAGGAGTCCCAGTCCCAGGCGACCGAGTCCAACACGGCCGATTCGTGTGCCGCTTTTGAACCCCATTTTCTACAATTCTCCCAGGTCCAAGCTAATGATGTCTGGTGCCTGGCGCCTCTACGTATGCGACGCCTCCGTTCCAAAAAGCGATCCACGAGCCCCGTATGCATGCACCTCGCGCGCGCCTGGGCAGGGCCCCGGCAGGGGGCAGCTGGACTGGAGCGCACGCGCCCGCCTACTCCTCGCCAGCATCTACCGGCACGCGCGCGCCGCGCGTCTGTGGCTCCCCGGTGTGTTGGACACGTAGCGCAACGGCTTTGAACGGTTCATTGTTCGGCGCCGGCGGCGGGCGTGGTCGTGTAGCTCCACCAGCAAGCAGCATGCGCTCCAGGTGATCGGATCAGCGGCGGGTCCGGTCACGCAGCCGGCGGCCCTCCTGCTTTTTGACGACGTCTTGCCAATTCGCGTCATCATGTTCATGTTCCATCAAAGTAAGGTAAAGCTGCACTGGGCTATGTCGGCACCAAGTGATTTTCCCAGTTTCTGCTTCGTCTTGCCTGTCACGAGGGCGGCCGGATTAGACTCGAGGGGAAAGAGGCTCAAGTGAGCTGCATTGTGGGGGCAGTCTGGATATATTCCAGGGATTTGGGGAGGCCGACGCTAGTGGAAGAGCAGCAGGGCCGACACTGGTGAACTGAATTACTGAAAGTTTCCGAGTTGGTGCAGTTCTCAATTGTGTCAGGAATGAGACACGTATGCGCTATGCCATGAGTATCTTCAGAAGTTTTAAGCCGTGTTGCTCTCAGCTGGTCTAAAGATGTCAACGGGGACCCGATCCCCGATTCTCCGCGGTGAATTCTTCTATTAGGGAATGAGGAAAGAGGAGAATTAATCTCCATGGGGAAACATTTGGTAGGAAGGTTGTCCCCGTCGGGAATGGCGGGGACGGGGATGGTTGCCTGGTCCCCGACCCTGATCCCCGTCAACCCGCCCCGCGAAGCACGCAGCAGGCAGCGGTGTCAGCCGATGTAAAGGCCCAATAAGTCGTGGAGGTATATAACGAGCCATCCAACCCTAATTCCTCGATCTCCAATTCCCCATCCGGTCATCCCGTCCTCCAGCCGAGCATGCATGAGCACGAGAGGCGGCAGCGTCCGCGAGCTGACGGCCCTCCTCTCCGCGCTGCGCCGCGCGCGCCTCGAACACCCTGCTCACGCTGCGCAGCTCCACGCCTGCCTCCTCGTCTCTGTTGGCGCGCGCCCTCACCCGCACCTGGTCCTCCTCACGCAGCTCGTCTCCCTCTACGCCGCCGCGGGCCGCCTCGCCGACGCGCTCCGCGCCTTCTGCGCCCACCTACCCAGCGCCAACCTCCACACCTACGCCGTCCTCGTCTCCGCCCTCGCGCGGCCGCGCCCGGACCTCGCATTCTCCCTCTTCTCGGGCTCGCGCCGTCAGTTCCGCCCCAACCCCCATGTCATCTCCACCGTGCTATCCGCGTACGCTGGCCTCCAGCCTCTCTGCGAGCGCGGCTTCATGTGTTGATGCGGGGATGGGGATCCCCGCGGGGATTAAACCCCCGAGCGGGGACGGGGATGGGGAAGAAGTGCTCCCCGTGAGCTTTCACGGGGACGGGGACGGGAGAAATTTACCCCCACGGGGACGGGGATGGGGCAGTAACCCCCGACGGGGAATTCCCTGTTGACATTTCGAAGCCGGTCCATGTTTAGGAGAAGACAAACAACATCCAGTTTGGACACAAATTTTCCATTATAAAGTTGGGTAAATAACGACTTCCTCCTACAAAACTGACCGAACAAATCTCGCATTGCTGTTGTTATAATGATTGCAAGTTCTTTTGCACCACAAGGCCAGGCCCAACGCCTAACATGTATTTTGTGATTGCAGATGCTAGTGGTCTATAATTGCATCTTATAGTGGCAACTTTCATGTCAAGATAGGACTTTTAGTGAGATTTAAGATTAGAAGATAAGATATATAGAATATAGATATAGATATGAAACAAAAATCTAAGTTGATCAAAATTGCCATTTCAATAGGCCAAAAGGACTAAAACGTAAACAATACACCAATATATAGTGTTTAAATGGTCCAATATGAATAGTGGGACATTATCAGAGGTAGACGAGACACCAGGGACTGCGACAAGCTGCCTTGACATGTGGTGTTTAGGGTTTGCTTGGTTTAGCTGTGAGCTATAGAAAAAGTTGTGAGCTACGTGATATGGAAAAGTTGTAAGTTGTTTGGATAAAACAAGTATATTACATACCCCTCTCTCCCCATCTCCTTTGAAATAACTGTGAAACAACTATCTCTTTCCATAAATGTCTAAAAGCAAAAAGCCAAAAGTAGGATCCTATATGCTTCTGTTGATGGTAGTTAACAACCATTATAAACCATCAATAAAACATACATAAGGGCACAATTGAGATCATCAACAAAGGTCTAGGGGTCTAAACTAATAAATTCCACGAGTTTTGGTGAATCTGTGATTTCTGCATGGTTTATCCAGAAAACCGTCAATGTGAACCTACATGTCAGATTTAATTGTGCTTATCCACCGCGAAACGGACACTAGAAGGTTCTAGAGGACACCAGAGGACACCACGCCGAGGCAGAGAGCGAGGGGCTGCCAGGCCCCAGGGCCCACCTGTTAGCCTCCGTGTCGTCAAGTCGGTTTCCCACCGTCTCCTAGATTGCATCTACGCCGTTCCTTAAGTCGGTTTGATCCAAGGGCCCACGTTGGACGCTCTGGGCTATATAATCAGCCCCTGCCCCCCTGAAGGCATCAAGTCATTTGAGAAAACAGAAACCCTAATCATCCTCAGAGTTCCATCATATTTTAGGGCATAGCTAGTTAGGCTAGGTCTAGAGGGAGGCAAGCAGGCTTCGCTTGGATTCCCGATCGTGTCAAGAGCGTGGTTCGGTATAATCTTTGTACCCCATCTCTCTTTTGTATCTCCATTATTTTTATACGCTTGCTACAATTGTTATGACAATATTAGTATTCATCTTACACTACTGGAAAGGTCAAATTTACCGAGTGTTTTTACGTTTGCCGAGTGTATTCCTTCGGGCACTCGACAAACAAATTCTTTACCGGGTGCTATACTAAAAACACTCGGTAAAAAAAACACTTGGCAAATAGGGTAGTTTGCCGAGTGTCAAACAAAAAACACTTGGCAAACAGTAAGTTTACCGAGTGTCATAAAAAACACTCGGTAAAAAGCAGGTTTGCCGAGTGTCCAGAAACCACACTCGGTAAACCCAAAAAATATAGAAAAAAAACCGTCCGCCCCTAAAATCCGTCCCTCCCCTCCCCAGCCCCACTCCTCACTTTTGCCCCCTGCCTCCCCCCCCCAAGACCCCACACCCGCCCCTCCCTCCCTTCTTCTTCACACCACGACGTCGGCCCCTCCCTCCCTCCCTCCCTTCTTCTTCCCCGGGCCATGGATCCAGCCCCTCCCTCCCTCCCCCCTTCTTCCCCCCACGGCCATGGATCCGCCCCTCCTCCCTCCCCTTCTTCTTCCGCCGTGGATCTAGCCCCTCCCTCCCTCCCCTTCTTCTCCCCAGATCCGGCCCCTCCCCATCTTCCCACCCGGCCATGGATCCAGCCCCTCCTCCCTCCCCTTCTTCTTCCGCCGTGGATCTAGCCCCTCCCTCCCTCCCTTCTTCTTCCCCAGATCCGGCCCCTCCCTTCTCCTCCCCCGGCGGCCGTGGATCCGGCCCCTCCCTCCCTCCCTTCTTCTTCCTCTCGCCATGGCATGGATCCGCCCCTCCCTCCCTCCTTCTTCTTCTTCTGCATGGCGACCATGGATCCGCTTCTCCCTCCCTCCCTTCTTCTTTCGGGGACCATGAGATCCGCCCTCCTCCCTCCCCTTCTTCTTCCCGCACGGCAAGTAGCTGGGATTAAAGTTCTGGTTTCTCGTGGATTGTGATTTTTTAGGGCGCTAGTTTAGTTTTCAGAGTCGGTGACTAGCTATTGTGTAAAATTTTGTAATATATCATAGTAACGCATTTGAGCCTGTTACCTTGATGGCTTGATAGTGTTCTGTAGTTGTAGAAGAACAAATCTTTCTAGTAATTTTTTTCTTCTTTTTATCATATATGTTTCTTATAACTGCAGGCAGTGTTTCGTTTTGTCTTGGAGTGCTTGATACATGTATTTTATTAAGTTTCTGATGTAATTTATCTGCTATGTGAAATCTAGAAACTTAATGTAAGCTACTGATAAAAAAATGGACAATTACTAAAAGACCTCTCTTAGCAAAAACCAGAAGCAAAAGTAAAACGGATACCTTCCAATCACTACAACAAAGCTTCATTAGAATGAGACATAAGCTGACATAAATTTATACTTATTCAGAGACTGATATATGACATTATGACTTGTCTTAAATTTGTAACAATAGGAACTTGATCATAGATTAGTTAATTGAGGGCGTGGAGTTAAGACTACCTAGGGTTTGATTCCTCATCAAGGAGAAATTGGATGCCCTATTTCTTGTTAGGAAGATGCTTTGAGTACAACAACTTGAATACAACCCGATTACAACCATGCATCTAAACCATTCAACGCATTTGATAGCTTTCTATATATCTAATTGATCTTTGATCACTAGATCTTGAGTAGTACCGAAGTTCTACTCTTTGTATGAGTAAGAGATCTTGGTATAAAATGATCTTTTTTTAAGTAAGGAAATGCTTTGAGTACAGCTAGAGTATAGCATATAAACAATTCAATGTAGTTTTCATCAAGTGATCTTTAACTGTTGAATCTTAAGTCAAGTCCGCCTCATATGGTTATACATATAGCAGTCCTCTTCTTGTTAATATATAAAGGAGTCTAGTTTCTTCTTTATTAGGTTAGTTTCTGCTTTCAAGTTTGCAAAGACAGTTTAAACAGTGGAAGTTCGGTTGTTTACCTTAACTTTGTACTGATTATTTATTTATATGTGTTTAATGGGAAAACCTGACTTGACTTGTCTTGAATATGTAATGATTATGATTATATATATAATTATATAAAGACAGATATAAAAAATTTCAAATTTGTTCTGTTTTTATGCAGAATTTTTTTAAATCTGACTTTTCTTCTGAAGGCTGAGGTGCAACCACAAACCTCATGGAAACAGATGATAATTTACTGATAATATAAACAAATATCTGAGTATCTGAAACAGATTGGCATATAATTATTATTGTCTAGTCCTAACAATTGGCTTATTTAGCACAAGTTGTTTTCCTCAGTTTCATATATATTGATCTAGAGATGCTTATTTTTGTGAAAGGATGAGAAAATTATCAAACACCACACTGAATATATGGTGTGGAACTGTGGTTTAGTTCGAAAAGTTTATTGTCCAAAGTAGGAATGTGTAACTATTCTAGAAATAAGTCATGAATACTTGTTTGTGTATTTCAATATCCGATTGTTGTAAAAAATGTTATCTGTAGTAGCTTTTCAAATTAGTATTGTAGCAGATCATGTACTAACAAAGTGCAGTAGATTTCACCAGCTAACGATTTGTCATCTAGATTGTGTAAGTAGAGAATATAATAAAAGATTATACATCAGAAACGAATTAGTTTTGCTGGGCGGGACAGCTAGTTATTGGTTGCTCTGCCTATGCAGAAATGATTTTGTTTTTGAAAAGGTTAGTTCTGGTGACTACTTGTTGGTCGCTTTAGCCATTCGTGCGTGTACTTAGAAGTATCATCATAACTTATATGCTTGTGAGCTAGCCATTCGTGTGTGTACTTAGAAGTATCTTCTTAGCACTTGTTGCAATAGCATTGTGTTTTTAATTGTGCCTTTGTTACCTGCTGTTTTTCTGAAAATTTCTGAGTTTGTTACTGCTAGTTTTTCTGAATCGACATTTTTCTCATCTCTCTTTTCCAGCAGCTTGTGCCCATCTGTTCCTTCTATGTCTCTATATGTACAGCAGTGACAGTCGTTAGTGTTCATGCCTTCCCTGGTTTTCAAATAGCAGCAGCAGCACTAAGACAAGGTAAGCATCCTGCAGATTCCTCTCTAGTGTGTGCCTGGCTTTACTCTAAATTTGTTTCAATGCGTGAGTCACCCATTGCCGGTGAGCGGCAATTTGTTCTGCAGCAAATGGCAGCCTTGATTTTCGATCAACAACACAAGGTATTCTTTAACAACAACAAATTGTAGCTATCAACTTTCTTAACTCGGAGTTCGCTTTGCTCCGAGAGCGATCGTGGCGCCATCCAGAGAACCGGCCATTGCGCTCGCCGCAGACGAAGGCCTCTCGTCAGCGGCGCGCGGGCGCCATGAACGCCTACTACCGTGCCCGGGCGAGAACTCGTGGAATCGCTTCTTCAACGGCACCGCCCTCATCACCATCACTAACCCTAGTGAGTAGACCGCCTTTGTTGTGATGGTGTGAGTGTCTCGTTGCTTGTCAACTGTGTGTTGGCGGGCTGACATGGTCTGGTGTTCTTGATTCTTGCGTGTCTTGGCACCGCAAATATGCTTGAGATGGATGCATGGGAGGAAG